GACATGCTATACTATGACTTTTTTTCATGATTTCGGACGACATGCTATACTATGACTTTTTTTCATGGTTTTGGACGACATACTACTGACGTTTTTTCATGGTTTTTAACGACATGCTATACTATGACTTTTTTTCATGATTTCGGACGACATGCTATACTATGACTTTTTTTCATGGTTTTGGACGACATACTACTGACGTTTTTTCATGGTTTTTAACGACATGCTATACTATGACTTTTTTTCATGATTTCTGACGACATGCTATACTATGACTTTTTTCATGGTTTTTAACGACATGTTATACTATGACTTTCATGATTTTTGATGACACGCTATACTATGACTTTTTCATGATATGACATACTATTTCAGTTGGTTGAGGTTCATCTTCGTAGCTTGCAATGTACAGATCTTTGATGCTGATTTGTTTCCACTTCAGTAAATTTATTTCAACTGACAGTCAAATGAAATACAAACATACTGACACACAATTGACCTTGTACACAACAAATTCATTCAAACAATACATACAGAAGATCTTCAAACATTGCTTTAAACAGCAATGTTAGACTGGATGGTAGTCCTGGTCAGTGAGTAATGGAATATGAAGCACGCAGACATGATTCACATGGACGTTATCTGGCCCAGGTTGCACAAAGAAAATATTCAGAATGTGTGAGTTAAATTGTTCAACATATCACAAACAGACCAGTCTGCAGCTAGTTTGTCGGCTCAGGGTGCCCGTCTTTCCAGTAGTTTTGATACGCTTCCTGGAACATGTTCTTGCAGGCTATTTTAGCTTTGAGTTTGGAGCAGATGAGGAAGGAGCCGCCCATCTTGCGGTGGAGGGAGTACGTCTCTTCGGGAGGCGGCGTGAGTCGCTCCCTTAGCATCACAGGGATGAGGCTGTGAATACGCTCAGTTGTGCTCTGAGTTCCAAAGTCAAAGGGCTCCTCAGAGGAGAAAGCCTCACCAAGGATCATCACTGCATCCACATGGGCGTTCTCCATCGACTGAAAACAGAGCACAGCCTTTTAGTTAACAGGCCTCGTGGCAAAATTGGACGACCCAAAATTTTTAAACTAAAGGATCAGTGAGCACAAATGTGACAGTTTCAGAGCAGAAACTTAGAGTACATATTTTTTACATTGTTCATGACATACTATACTATGACTTTTTGAGATGACTTTATTACAACAAACTATTCTGTTTTGTCATCCAATGCAATATTTTTTTTAATATAATATAATCACACTGACTGTTAACAACTTACTATACCATGAATATTCTGTGACGTTTCTTTAAGACATGCTATAGTATGACTTTGTTTTTGTAGATTTTTTAGGCTTCTGTTAAACAACATAGTACACTGAAGTTTTTCTTGTAGACTTTTTAGGACATACTATGATTCGTTTTGAACATACTGTATTATGTCTTCTGTAGATTTTTTTAGGACGTGCTATGAGTTTTGTTTCTTAGATACTATACTATGACTTTTTTTTTTTTAAATGAATTTCTTCCGACACACTACACTATGACATCTTGGAATTTTTTTGGCATGCTATATACCATTACATTTTTTTATGACGTTTTATGACTTTTGACATGCTCTATGACACTGATGTTTATGACTTTTTTTTTTTTACATACTGGTTTAATAACTTTTGACATACTCTATGATGTTTTGACATGCTATACTATGTTTTAGTGACTTTTACGATTTTTTTAAATGCTATATTATACTATTCCTTTTTTATGACACCTTTAAGTAAATGTCAAATTACAAAGAAGCGTTATTACAACACTATTTAGCGTGATTACTGAAATTCACCTGTACACTAAATATTTCTGTTTCTTTTTAGACGTGAGGGTCCTGTGTGGTTACTGTTGTTGCAGTTCGTCCTGGTCACCAGTGGAGGTCGATAGAGATCAGTTAATATATTAATAGAGATCAGTTAATGCCACATAAATAAATTATTAAATGATGATTCATATTTTAATAGTTGTTTGTTGCTAATCTTTGGTTCATAAGTTTGTAAAGAGAATACATTTGATTAAATGTTATTTCATTTTTCTATTTGTTATAGTTGGTCATAAAGTGCAGGTTTTTCCAAACAGATTCAACAGCTACTTTAAATAAGTATATCCAATTTATGCTTCTACTCTATCAAATTTCAGAGGAAATATTGTACTTTTAGAATTACAACTTCAGTTTTACATACAAAACACAGTTGTCAACTCAAAGACTAAAGTCCCCATATACCCCTCACAGGTGCTTTCAGTTTTGTTGCTGATTAGATGTACTCAGTTTGGAGTTTACACAAGGTCATCATGTACTTATAGATAGAATATATAAAATGATAAAGCTTTGAATTTCCCTGCAACTAAACTAACAAGAGCCTCTGAAACCCTGGCAAAAGATATTTTATCTTAGCGCAATAGATAACTTGTGTGTGCATAAGATTAAAAAAATATATATATCTATATATATCATGTTTGGGGACCTTGAAGGCTTCGTCACTTTGAAAGGGGCCATTTTGTACTTTTACTTTAGATACTTATCTATAATACTTTCACTTGAGTAGAATTTTGAATACAAGACGTTTACTTGGAACAAAGTATTTTTACACTGTGGTATTGTTACTTTTTCCACCACTGAGTTTAAAGAGGTGACGTCTTTGCAGAAGGTTTTTATCAGGTATTCTCAGGATTAAAATGACTCTTAACAGACGCTCTGTAACTACATGTCACTGTTGTGGTTTATGGTGAGGATGTTTCTTACCTTTGACTCGTATCCCGTGAGGAACTTCATGTCTCTGGATTTCTTCAGGATGCCTTCTCTGTCCCTGTTTGCAGCTGCATTAATAATCTGATGAGAAATGGAAGTGAAAGTTATTTTAAAAAATAAATAAATCAGTCCTCATGTAATGAAATGTTTGCCTGCTTGAAAATAAAGCTTGTTATGGATTTCTATTAAACATTTGAATCATTTCAAACCAAGACTGTCATTTTTATTCCCTTCTTATGTTATGACAATTACATAGTTCACTCTATTATTCCAGTTTTTCTTGTTATAACTTCACACCACATTATGCTGTTTTTATAAGAAACTTCTCTTGTTGTGACAACACTGTATGTTGGTGGACGGGTCTTATCGCAAACATGAAATGAAACTTTAGTATTAACCAGTTATTGTCATTTTAGACTGCAATGCTCTCTTTTTAGGCACTGACTGGATTTATATCGTGTTGTAACAAGAAAAGTGTCTTAGATATATCTATGTCATTCTAACAAGAAATCTGTCTGAGGCCTTGATCACACAGGAAGCGTCTTAGCAGCTGGAGGTAACATTTTGTAATTGTTTTTAATGAGAATGAAGCTTTTTGTTCGAGGTATTTGCGTTTGTTTTCACTCAAAGTGGAAAAGCGCACCACATCATCTCTTTTTCCCCATCGTCCAATCAGATGATTTGAGAGGCGGGCTTTCTGTGGTGGGCATGACAGCAAGTTTACAGTTACATGATTTGTACTGTAAATGTAATTTTTTCTGGCTTCTCACCTCAATGTAGGTGTCAGTGAAACTCTTATCAAATCCACGAGTGGCTCCAAAATCCAACAGCGCAACCTGAAGACATGGAATGTAAAAATAACAAGACAAGTACTAACAGTGTGAATATTAAATGAAAGGACTGAGACAAACTGACCTTGTGAGTTTGTGGATCGAAGAAGAAGTTGGACCAGTTTGGATCAGTCTGCATGAATCTGAACTCAAACAGCTCCCTCAGGCACAAAATCAAGATCTGCTCACAAATCTATAAGACACAAAGGAGGAGAAAGAAAACTGTGCTCTATATAAACAGTACGATTGAGCTGACATGCCTCAGTGGTTTTAAAAGATGGCATGTTTCTGCATTTGGCACGCCACTTTGAACTTGAACCAAAGCCACAGATGTCTTGGCAGAGCACAGATGTAATTTGTACAGTAAGCTGTGCAGAGTTCAGGGCGGTCCTACCTCATTCCTGAGCTCCTGGGGGAGATCGGTGGCCTTGTCCAGGGGGAAGCCAGGGACCAGCGCTGCGGTGATGACATGCGGGCTGCTCAGCTCGTCAATCACATCTGGCACAGTGAAGAACGGGTGATCTTTCAGCAGCTCTCTGGAGAACAGGAGAACAGCCATCATTACCCTGACAGCTGAAGTATAAACTTTCCTCTTTTAAGGAATGTTTTTAACATTTCGGGAAATAAGAGTATGTGCTGTTTTTCTTTGGAGAGTTGGAAGAGAAGATTGATACCACTCTCATGTCTGTGCAGTAAATTTAAAGCTACAGCCAAGAGCTGGTTAGCTTAGCTTAGCATCAAGACTGGGAACAGTGGGAAACAGCTAGCATGGGTCCATCTAAAGGCAACAAAGTTTATCTACCAGCACCTCTAAAGCTCACTAGTGAGGTTTTATAAAGTGTTGGTAGGCAGTTTTTGTTAGCTTTGTACAGAGTGGGGCTAGCTATTTCCACCTGTTTCCAGTGTTTATGCTAAGCTAAGTTAACCAGCTGCTGGCTGTAGCTTCATATCTACTGCACAGACGTGTGTCAATCAATCTTCTCATCAAACTCTTTGCATTAAGCAAATAAGCACGTTTGCTGAAATGTCAAACTGCTCCTTTAAGCACTGTTTATCTTCCTCACAGCCTGAGTGGACATCAGATTTGAACCACTGACAGTCACCACAGTTATAAACAGCACTGGTTCCCAGTTGGGACTGTGAGATGAATCTTACAGAACATTTTCACAGCACATTATCGATCCAGACATCGGTCATATAGCGACTTTTAACAAAACAAAATGTCTAAACAAGCCACTGAGGGGTGTTCTGGGCTGAGAATAAACCAATGTCCAGTTTGCTTTATCTCTTTGAGTTTGGCGACACATTTATCCTCAAAACAATGTATATATGCTCACCAAAACACAGAAGGGCATCCATATGTCATCAATATTCCAGTCAGCAATTCAGTTTTACACACCGATACTCGAAGCTTTTCAACATGCTTCCACAACAAAGTCAAAAACTGTTTGCTTCCCTGTTCCACACACCTGTTTTTAATTACCTGGAGCTTACCTACATGCCCTCCACACATGGGTGCTAACCCCTGTGTGCAGTTTAAGAACTGCATGTGTATACTTATTTTTAGGAGGTAATTCACTAAGTAGGGACCTGGAGATAGATGGGGGCATAGTGTGGTCGTCATTCCAAGACGAGGGAGCCAGCTCATACAGCTCACACAGCAATCACACTCAGGTGTGCACCAAAACAACTGGACCGAGACCTTCTTGAAGAGGTGGTCTCAGTCTGGTTACAAATGAACTCTGGTGCGGTTTGTTTGTGGTGAGAAGGTGTTCTGACCTGGATGTGAAGCAACTGCAGTCACATGACACATTGTTTGGGTTAAACATGAGCATGTTACAGTCCTGGAGGATTATTAATGTGCACCTCCTCCTGTACTGCCTTAATATGCACATTCAGCACATCCAATGCATCAAAACATTGTTTTCTAGTTGGAGCCGCGCCTCGTTTTCAAACTGTATGGTTTGACTAAAATGAACAATGACAGCAATATAGTCCACGATGAGCAGCGCTAAAATCAACCTGTGTAGTTGTCCCTCCATTGTGACATTAGAAAGTGTCACATTTATCTTGCAAGTGTACTCTTCTTCAACGTTTGCTTTACTTCCTGGATTTTTCCCACATCGAAATTCTGACCAATCAAGAGCAGCTTTCTCACGCAAGACATTTGATCTGGTCTGCTTGTAAACACTGCCGTGAGAACACGAACCTACTCTAGGCAGTTATACAACTTTGTAACAAAATTCGTCCCTGATTCAGACCAAAGCAAGACAACTCTAGGTCTGAAAACACCCAGAGATTCTCAAACTATCACACCCTTTCCTGCTGACTAAGTCTTTCTTTGCAAGCAGCTTCCGCCTTCTCCTGAACGTTTCTGTAGTTCAAACATCCTAACATTAGTTAAACTGAACATTCAGCTGTGGTTTACATTACAGTATCTCATCATGACTGCACATTCGGGTCACTGACCAAACCGTGAAGTAGGTGCACGCATGCATGGTCGCGTGATTACCAAAGCAGAACATAAGAAACAAAAACATTTCAGACACACACCTATCGCTGGCTTTAATTATTCTTGTAAAATACTGTAGTTTGATCCTCTCAAGGCTCTCTAAAAGTATTTATTATTATTATTATTAAGATTCTTAACTACTCATACTGTTTAAAGCAGATTTAAAAAAAGGTTGTAAGCCGCTGACACACAGTGAGGATCCACGCCGTGCAGACTCTGACTAACAAACTGACATGAATCCCAGAGTCGGTCTGTGTGGTGGGAACAAGTGTGAACAACTTACTGAAATTTTTTGGCACACTTGGCCTCTCTTATGTAATCACACTCCAACGCCAGCTCACGGTTCATGACCTCGATCATGTGCTCAGGAAACAGACCTGTGAAAGAAGGCAAATGTTAAAAAAAGCTGAAACTCATGACATTCAAGCTTCTGTCGGAGAGTATGTTGACAATATCAGAGGTTACAAACATCAGACAAAAGCAGCTGCTATCACAGAGAAGATAAAAAGCTCTCAGACAATGTTACCTTCAGGCAGCGCGTTGCTTAAACTCAGAGCGGTCATGATATTACGCACGTCGCTGTCGATACTCTTGGCGACTCCGGGGTACTGAAACAACAGGTTTGATAGTGAGATTTTTTTTAAGGGCTATATTTTGTAATAGTTGACTTCTGTGTTTTCTCTCCTCTCACCTGAATCTTCATGGCGACCTCTCTGCCGTCCTTCAGCCTCGCTAGATGCACCTGACCGATAGATGCCGCGGCAAACGGCTTCTCCTCAAAGTACTCCAGCTTGTCTCTCCAGTTTGGGCCGAGGTCACCGTTGAGGGTTTTCTGCAGAACAGAGACAAACTGACTCAGCTATGAACAAAAGATTAATGAGTGTGTGATGTTCGCTGTGCTTCTTCATACTGTACCATCATCTGTTTCGGGGGCATGAAGTCTGCACTCTGTCGAACACGGTCGAAGATTTTGGCCAACTGAGGGTTAATAAAGGCGTCATCTGAGAGGAGAGAAGAGAACAGAGTTAGTAAACTGTTATGCATGGATGTTTAAAGGTCCAGACTGTAGGGTTTAGGGGGACATATTGGCAGAAATGGAATACAATATAATAAGTATGTTTTCTTTAGTGTATCATCACTTTAAAATAAGAATCGTCGTGTTTTTGTTACCTTAGAAAGTACAGTTATTTCTACATAGAAGGCAGGTCCTTGTTTATGGAGATCAATATGTTCACCACCATGTGTCTACAGTAGCCCAGAATGGACAAACCAAACACTGGCTCCAGATACAGCCTTCAACATTTTAACATGGCCACCATAGTAAGAAGCCAATGTGTGCGGTGAGCAACGTCAGAAAAACACTGATTTTCAACGTAAAAATGCTTTATTCTGTGTTTTTACTGGCCTAAATCATGTGGTTGGTTTGTTTTGGAGAGTAAAGACCTTCACAAATACAAAAATCTCATGAACATCTGGATGTAAAGTTATCAGAGCTAAAAGGTGAGCACACATTAGCACGTGGTAGGTGAGCTGCCAGTCTCCAACATGCCAAACAGCGTTGGAGAGACACTGATTTGTATCATAAAACTGCTTGATTCAGTGTTTTTACCAGTTTTAAATCACCTGTTGTGTTTGTTTTGGAGAGGAAGAGACCTCTGCAGATAATTTGGCTCCAGGTAAAAACCTGCTCAACACTGAAAGGATTCTAACCAGGAGAAGTTTCAGGTGGTTGGGTTCTGTAATCTTCACCACTAGATGCCACTACATCCCCCTAAATCTTACACACTGGACCTTTAAAACCTCGATGTTTACATAGTTATCTAATGCACATCCCCGTCAGTAGTACAGACTCCTGACTTTCTGCAGTCAGTGTCATTTAACGTAACTCAAGCTGGTGTTCAGTGGACAGATCCAAATTCACGCTAATTTCAAATAGCAAAAAGTTAACATCTAATCTTCCTAAGATCCTAAAATTGGCTACAGTGATCTGCCCTTTATGAATGCACCACCCTGGATCCAGAGGTGTTAGCCAACTATAGACCAATATCTAATCTTCCCTTTATGTCAAAGATCCTTGAGAAAGTAGTCGCAGACCAGCTGTGTGATTTTCTCCATGATAATAATTTATTTGAGGAATTTCAGTCAGGATTTAGAGTGCATCATAGCACTGAGACAGCACTAGTTAAAATTA